CTATACACAGTCTTTACATATGTAGAACAAACAAGCCCAACACACTTCTTTCTTTACTTGAAGCACTGGGAGGGTCCCATAACTGAACTTTCATCAGTGTCCTTTGTCAGAAAGACCTTAGCTGATGGTCTTTCCCTGCTGCGTCTTGGCGGCAGATGCCCCAGCATTAGTACGTCCCTCAGCACGTAGTTTTGGACCTTGAAATGTGCCAATCTGTAACACTCACTTGAGGTAAACTCCTTGCTCTGGAAGACCAACATGTTTAAGATAGACCTAAGAACGTTTTTCACTAAGTTGATGGTCCTGCAGGTGCAGTCAGTGTTTGTCTCAGTGTATGCCCTAGCGAACAGATCAGGGAGCACAGAGTCCTGTGTCAAGCAGCTGTTCGGAACGAACCTTTTTAAAAACCACTGCATCTCTCTCCAGACTTCCTTTACATAGGCACATTCCAGAAGGAGGTATGTGACAGTCTCTACTCCACCACCGCACCTGCTTTCAGGACAGTGTGAGGTGGCACAGAGTCCGGGTGTACGTGAAGGATCTCACAGGTAGTGTCCTTCTCAACACGGCCGAGCGATGTCACAGTGCTTATTGAAAAGTTCTGGTGATTAGGCATTCTCCTGAATGATTTTAAAAATCTACTCAGGGCGCAACCCAAAAGGATCTGCCCACTCATTTTCCCACAGGGTCTCGAGGATGCTGTGTGCTGACCACCTGCTGATTGACTTGTGGGCAAATGTGTTATTCTTTGTAAATTTCGCCGCAAAGGACAGACAATACGGAACAGCCCAACTACTTGGAGCATTCAGCAACAAAGTACTTTGCAACACTGGGGACCAGTAGAATCTCAGTATGTAGTGATGCTTGGAGTTTGCGTTCTATGCACAGATTGACGCAACCACACACAAAGGTGGCCATCAAGATGAGGGCAGTATTGTGTACGTTCTTCCCCTCTCAACCCCCATCCAGAGCTTTGTACATGGTATACCTGCGGACTACACATGAAGTGGAAGATAGCTGGGGTGACTGCAATGGCACAAGTTCTGGGAATGGGCCAGACCTGCACCACGTACAACAGAGAGAGTCCCTCACACCTGATGACCAGGTTTTTACCCACAATGGAGAGGGAACAGTGTTTCCAAAAGCCGGGTTTCTGCCTCACCTTGGTGAAATGCTCCTCCCAAAATTTTGCACATGCCATGGCCCCTCTGAACCATATTCCTGGCACCATCAGGTAATCTGTCCTGACTGAAAGGGATAAAGGATCGGTTGACCCAGGTCCCATAGAGCATGGCCTTGTTCTTGCCTTGATTTACTTTGGCCTCTAAGGCCAGTTCGAACTGGTTGCAGATGATCATGAGTCTGCACTGACAGCAGAAAACGGCAGCATCGCCCATGTCATTGGAGGCTCTGACCTGTAGGCCTTCGCTGCCAGAAATAGTCACCCCTGTCGGGCTAACATCCTTCCTGATGGACTCAGCAAAAGGTTCTGTACAACAGACAAGCAAGGCAGGAGAGAGTGGCCAGCCCTGTCAGACTCCAGATCTGACCAGGAAGCGTCCTGATTCCCACTCGTTGATTGAGACTGCACTTCTGATGTTGGTGTAGAGCAGTCAGATCCAAATGTGGATGGTCTCACCAAAATCCATTTTGGAGAGCACATCTCCATGAAGGAGTGCAATATCCCGCCAAAGACCTTCTCCTGGTCCAGGCTGATGAGGCAGGCATCCACCAACCTGTCCTGCACACATCCCTGAGGAGCGCAACTCTCTCCGAGATCGCCCTGCGTGGTATTGCACAGGTTTGGTCGGGGTGAATCACCAAACCAAGAGCAATTCTGACCCAGTTGGCGATGGCATTAGACAGGATTTTATAATCTGTATTCAGCAGTGAAATTGGTCACGAATTTCTAATTTCCTCTCTCTCCCTTTCTTGTAGATGAGGGTGAGGATACCTTTCCTCATGGATTTGCTTATGTTACAAACCAGAAGCATACTGTTGTTCACTTTCAGCAAGTCCTGACTAATCAAGTCCCACAGAGCTGAATGCAACTCAGTCACTTCTGGGAGTTTTATTCTTCTCAAAGGACTTGAGGGTGTTGGTTAGCTGTCCAGATATAACGGATAGTCCATCCCTTCCTCTGTACTGTAGTCTAAGATCTCTGTGATAGAGGAGAGGAGTGACTGGCAATCAGGCTGTGCTGTCTGTGGGCTTCATGTCATATAGACTGACATAACAGGATTTGCTGATCCTCAGGATATCAGATTGAGATGACGGTATTGAGCCATATTCTTCATAAAAACTGTGGATGCTGTAAATCAAGAGCATAAATGGAAGTTACTGGAAATGCTCAGAAAAATCAGAGCTATCATTGTGAGTCTGGTGACCCTTCCTCAGATCGTTAAGTCTGATTTTTCTTCACAGATGCTGCCAGTACTGCTGAGCTTTTCCAGCAACTTCTGTTTTTGAGTTATTTTCTTCCTTCAGGCTGCTGAGCACAAAACTCTGCTTGTGCACCTTCTGGAAGAAGAAACTTGACCTTGTCTCATCCAGCTCCACAGTATGGACCCTGGACCGGAAGATTATCTCGAAGGTCCCCATGGCAATGAGTGAGGCTTGCTGGCTCTTGATCTCCTGGAGATCCTCATGAAATCAGCCCCCATCATCTGCAGTAGGATTAGGTTCTACACACTTTTCTGGAGTTTGGACAGTTTTTCCCATCTCTCTCTCGGCTTCTCAACTCCTTTGAGGATAAAGGATGTTCTCTTGATGTTCTCTTTGACTGTTTCCCACCAGCCTGCTGGAGATAAACAGAGGGACTTCAGAGTCCTCCGGCCTTTGTATTCCCTTTTGAGCTCCTCAGTGTGTTCTGGGGTTAACTGTTTCACACTCAGCTTCCACACTTGGAGTATTGCGTACAGTTCTGGTCACCGCATTACAGGAAGGATGTGGAAGCATTGGAAAGGGTGGAGAGGAGATTTACCAGGATGTTGCCTGGTATGGAGGGAAGGTCTTGTGAGGAAAGGCTGAGGGACTTGAGGCTGTTTTCATTAGAGAGAAGAAAGTTAAGAGGTGACTTAATAGAGACATACAAGATGATCAGAGGATTAGATAGGGTGGACAGTGGGAGCCTTTTTCCTTGGATGGTGATGGCTACCATGAGGGGACATAGCTTTAAATTGAGGGGTGATAGATATAGGACAGATGTCAGAGGTAGGTTCTTTACTCAGAGAGTAGTAAGGGCGTGGAATGCCCTGCCTGCAAAAGTAGTAGACTCGCCAACTTTAAGGGCATTTAAATGGTCATTGGATAAACCTATGGATGATAATCGAATAGTTTAGTTTAGATGGGCTTCAGATTAGTTTCACAGGTCGGCGCAACATTGAGGGCCGAAGGGCCTGTACTGTGCTGTAATGTTCTATGTTCTATGTCCCTTGCCAGCCTGTTGGTCATCCTGTAGCTGACAGTCAGCCAGCAAGAGGCAGTGGTCAGGGAAGAAAACCGGCTTGACATTGGGGGATCTGACCAAAAATGCGCAAGACACAAACAGGAAATCTGGCTGTGACCAGTTGTATCTACATTATGCACAGTCTGCAGCAGTGCTGAATTGTTGTGTAGCTTGGCGACTTTAACTGTTTCCATCAGGAATCTGGATGTGGCGTCCAGTTTGCTGTCAGCCCCTCTGGATTGTCCATCTGCATCAATGATACAGTTGGAGTCTGGCCAGAATGACTGGCCTGGACATTGCCAGCAGCAGTGGAAGCTAGTACAGGATGGCTGGCCACTCACTCTTTATCAGCAGTGCATATATGTTAATTAATCTCAGGTCCATTTCTGTACATAACGTCTGCTACGAGGAGGTGCCTGCCTACCGCCACCTTAGCTTTGCACATGGTGAAGGTGCTTACTTGCAGCAGACTACCCAGGCCAGAGGAATGGCTATCGTTTCCCCCTGACTAAATCGAGGGCCTGTGGGCCTACAAGCTGAACCATTTCCTGTAGCTGCAGAGGTGTGGCTTCCTGCACTCCTGCAGAGTCAGGAGGACCACTTTGAGGTTGACCAGGTAAGCCAATGTAGAAACACATTGCATAGTAGATTTAGTGCTATGCACATGAAAAATGACAATTTTAAAGCCCATTGAGATTTTATAGAATTACCCACAGACCCAATGTCAGTTCACTTGCAGTCTTGTCAATGGGGTGTCTTTGCATTCCCTTTGGTTGGGTGAACTATTGGACCCTTGCATAGCTGAGGTAGCTGTACTGTTCCTCCCTGGGGCATTGCTCTGATCTGGTGGTGTTGGGACAAAAATGAAGCCAGGATGGTCCAGTTCGGAGTCTGACAGAGGGGTTGTCATTGCTGTGCTCCTTATTCCAAACATTGCTCCTCCCGGTTGCCTGGAGCTGTGGTGCAGTGGCTACCCCTTGGGTTTCACCGGGTCCCTCGTGATGTCTGGCGTTTCTGGGTTGTGGGCTGCTTCTCTCTTCCCATGTGGTGCTGTGCCCCCCTTTCATGTTGATGGCCATCCCTCCGCATGTCTTCATCGTCAGAGGAGCTGCTGGTGTGTCCATCATGTAGCTCCCTCCTTCCATTTTCCTGTAGGCCTGTGGGGGCCTGATGTGTTTTCCTTTTCCGGTTGTTTTCCACCACTGTCCACTCTTTCGTCCGGTGATTCCCTCCTCAGATGCAATGACTGAGCTGATTTCTCCCAGAATCTTCCCCAGTCACTTCTCACCTTTGCCTTTTAGCAACTGTCAGTGAAAGCTCTATTGAAACTGACCTTAAACTTGCCACTGAGCTGATCAAGGTTGACAGTTTACATGTGAGTATAACTATGTTTCAAGTAACCCAATCCAGTTGCAGTCGAGTTTTTATTTTTGAAGTAATTGAAGAGTAAAGGTATCAGCATATATGTCTTTACATTTGTATATCTTTAAATTTGAAGGTTTTTTTCAATTTACTGAAATAAGCATATTGCATTGGTTATTCTTTTTCACAGATAGAGCTCAACGAGCAGTAATAGCTGCTTCTATGGCAGAGTTTGAGGCTTTGACATGTGTCAGATTTAAATACAGAACAAGGGAAATGACCTATCTTGAGTTTATTGATGGGATTGGGTAAGTGAATTTAGTTTAACCTGTAACGTTGGTAAATTTACATCTGTTGCAACAAAATTTTCTATTTTTGATCTGTAAAATTTGTCACCTCGCATACATTTAGCAACTTCTATTAGATGTTTTGCAACCTGTTATAACATTTCTTATCTGTAACATTTTGATTGGCTCAAAGTAAAAATGTAGTAAGACAGAATTTAAGAAGTAACTAACATAACAATTGAAAGTAAAGATGGTTAGAAAATTGAGAAATTACTAAAATGTTCTATAAACAAACCAATCAGTGAAGACAATTTTCCATTAAAAGGGAAAGGTATTGCAATCCAGTCTCTGAAAATATAGTGAAAGAAATTAGTCACTTTTTTCTTAATAGTTAAATTTATAATGTCCAAAAGAAGATTTTTGTAAAAATCTAAGAGATTAGAAGTGTGCATTAGACTGCCCCAGAACCTGCTTAACCGTTCAGTATGATCAAAGTTGACCTTCTGTCTCAATTCCATTTTCCCATTCGCTCCCCATATCCCTTGATTCCCTGAGAAATCAAAATCTATCTATCCCAACCTTGAATATACTCATAAGATGGGACATCTGCAATTCTATGAAATATTAAACTCCAAAGATGCTCAGGCATCTGAGTGAAGAGCATTCTCCTCAGCTCAGTCCTGTGTAATCAATCTCTCATCGTGAAGTTATGCCCACATGTTTTAGCTTCACCAACTAGGATGAATCAGTCTCTTAGAATTTTGTGTGTATCATCAAGATTGCCTCTTAGTCTTCTAATATATAGGCTTCTCACCCTTTCATGATAAGACAACCCTCATCCCAAAATCCAATGTAGATGTTGCTTATATACCTCTAAGACAAACTTAGCATTCATGAGATAAGGAGACACAAACTGTGTTCAATACTTTACAGTCTCACCCTTATTCTTGTATTGCAATGCCTTTGCAACAAAGGCCAAAATGCCATTCTTTTTCTTTAGGAAGACAGACCTTATCATCAAATTTATGTTACAATAATGGCTAGGAACCAGTAAGTATGTTTCTTTGAAGTAGACTGAGTGCAAGATCCAGGGACTTACTAAATAAATAAAGCTACAACATTAATAAAGTTGTAATAAACTTTGTTGTACAATATTAGAACATTAATATAATTTACAATAACTGCGTAACTTCTTTCAAACATCCAGAATTAACATGGTAAATTTGGGCGATAAACAATAAGTGAACATTCTACAGCACATACTAAATACAAATATGATCAAGGAAAATCCATTGGATTTCTCAGTCACTCCCTCAATAAACATTAATGCCACAGTGGACCACTGAATATCATTAAACTTCATGGAAGATTATAATGCTTCACTTTTTCTGATCTGGCTTTGAAATCCTGCTCAAGAAACTCTTTATCATGTACAACCTCAATAACTACTCTCATTCTGGTACTCACCCTCCTCTCCTGGGTCTACACTCCCATGCAATCTGTAACGGTTCTTTAATACTCATCCATGAGCATGTCTCCAGTTCTACAGTGATACTAGTTCTCCTGAGTCAGTACCACACCTGGGATTTTGCCTGAACTCCAATCTTGTTCAGTTGCTCCAAGGAAATATTGCCTGTGAGCTTTTCACCTCACTCTCAGTTGCAGTGAAGTATTAGTGTTCTCTAGCTTCTTCCATGCCCCTCTCCACTGCTCCCAACACAGTGCCACTGACTTTCCCATTTTCTTAGCTCCCTCTGACAACTTCCGAGTCCTGACTCCAATGCTCAGCTGCTTACTATTTCCCAGAACTTAACCCTGAGGTCTAACAACATTGAGCCATCTGAAGTTCATGAGTTCTCAAGGAACTTCGTATAGAATCTGTGATACAGCTAAATTGAAGCAGTACACCACTCCTAGCTTGGGAGCCTGTGGGCTTAATCTTCCCAAAGTATAGCTGTAAATTTCGGAATGTTTAATGAAGAGTTGCACGCCTTGAGCTCCAGTGGGTTTTCTCATGCAAATTTGCACAGCACACCTCATCAGCCATACCCCATGCCACCATGGCACCACATTCATGCTTTATTGCACTCACTAGCAATGGAAGTGGTTGCGTTGTCAGGTCCGTCCAGGTTTCCTACCACTGTTGTTATATTTAATGCCCAGATAGGCACCAATTCAAAAGTTGCAATCCAAGAATTATCCTTCATAGCTCCATTACGGGAAGAATTGCCCAGAAATGGCTAACAGAGGCAAGTTGATATCCCTATTGTTGACAGGGACCATGTGTCAGGATGTTTGAGAGGAAGATCTTTCTTTTCTTCATTGCTCAGACCTTTGAGTATAGGAGTTGGGATGTTGTGCTGAGGTTGCACAGGATGTTGGTGAGGCGTCTTCTGGGGTACTGTGTACAGTTCTGGTAGCCCTGCTATAGGAAGGATATTATCAAATTGAAAAGGGTTCAGAAAAGATTTACCAGGATGTTACTGGGAATGGAAGGTCTGAGTTATAACTATAGGCTAGATAGGCTGGGACTTTTTTCACTGGAGCATCGAAGCTTGAGGGGTGACCTTATGGAAGTTTATAAAATCATGAGGGGCGTAGGTAAGGTGAATAGCAAATGTCTTTTCCCTAGGGTGGGGTAGTTCAAAACTAGGGGGCATAATTTTAAGATGAGAGGAGAAAGATTTAAAAAGGACATGGGGGGCAACTTTTTTTATAGAGTGTTTTGAATGTGGAATGAACTGCCAGAGGAAGTGGTAGATGCGGGTACAGTTACAACATTTGAAAGATATTTGGATAAGTGCATGAATAGGAAGGGGTTGGAGGGATATGGGCCAAACGCAGGCAAGTGGGACTAGTTAGATTTGGGAACATGGTCAGTGTGGACGAGTTAGATCAAAAGGTCCATTTCCATGCTATATGACTATGTGACTGCAAATGGAGACCATGCCAGCCTGATCTGAAGTTGACACCTGGGTCAGTGCTTTGTCTGGAGGAAACCCAGCATTTCAGAAAGAATGTTAATGACATCCTGTGCTCTGCAAGGGTAAATGCTACTATCTTCGTTCTGCTATCTCACACTCACTTTTACTCTGCTACTGCACCCAGCAAAGCTCACTGCCACTTTTCACCATTACGTACAAAGTCAGAAGTCAGACAACATCATGTTATGGTCCAACAGGTTTATTTGAAATCACAAGCTTTTCGAGCACTATTCCTTCATCAGGTGAAGACCACTGCATGCAGCATTTTCCCTCATTGGTTCTCATTCACCCCGTGTCCCAAACTGCTAATCTTTCCACGCTTTCATCTCACTCAGTCCCTTTCCTGCATGAGAAAACAGTCCATAATTGGGCAGAGGAGGACAAGACCAATGGAAAACCTGCCATTCATCTCTTTACCCCATTGGAGAAGAGAATCCTTGAGATCAATGGGACAGGATATAAAGCTAGAGAGGTTACCCATTCTTATGGCCAAATGGTGTCCTAAGCTTTTCTGACGGATTGCTATGCTTTTGGTAGCATGCATGCTAGCATTAATCTTCAATAAAGGAGTACTGCACCTTGTGAAGACTTCCCTCAGATTGTCACCTTCTAATGAATAACGGAAAAGATGAAGAAAGAACAAACCGGTAAACTGCCGTTGATATTAAATGGAGACGCTGACCACAGCAGTATCAAAGCATTTGCAGTCAATGAAAGATGACTTGATACAACTCAGTTCTAATTGAAGTCCTGCATGTGTAGCTGCGACCGACTCTGCTGCACTATAGAATGATGAAGTGATATAGTTGGTCATTACATGAGTTCACATCAGAATTCTGTATGCCTTTAACCTGTCCAGTGTGTGTCTGATGAATGCAATCAACTGTGGAAGGACTTGACATTGCTGAGAAGTAGACCCTGCTTCCTCAGACAAAAAAACCGCTTACTTGCCAATTCAAGGCGTAATGTGAACATTTTTCATTTTGATTGTGCACTTGCAGTTTTGATGAATATAGAAGGTGACACAGGTAGCGCTTCACAGACTAAGTTGAAAGTTCAACCTGTCAGTCTAGAAAGCTCTCCACTATCTCCACCCGGCGCAGGCATAAAAATGTAAATGCAGGACTAGGCCACTCATTGACCCTGCCCTACTATTCAGTGCCACCATGGTTGATGGAGCACTTAAATACCTTTGACCCACCCCATTCCCATAATCCTGTTGGTAACTTATCAATCTCTACCATATACGTACTCAAAGACTGAGCTTCCACAGTTTTCTGTGGTAGAGAATTCAAAAAAAAAAATTGGCTTCACACAAATGGCATTTTTTCCCAGATGCTAACAATTCTGCTGAAGAGTCATTGGACTTGAAACATTACGTCTGCTTTCCTTCCACAGATGCTACCAGATCTGCCAAGGTTCTCCAGCAATTCCTGTTTTATTATATTCGTGGATATAATTTTGGTGAAATACTATCATAAAGTTCTGGTCGAGTGCACTTAACTTTGTCTTCTTCATGTCATTCTGCTTTTGAAGCACATTTTAGTCTTCCTCCCAGCTTTTCAACTTCCTGTTACCAGCTTTGCTCTTCCAGTTTGGGTTAGTCCTCAAGTTTCCACCCCCCCTGACAAGCTAGTTTAAATAAACCACTATCAAATCTCCTTGTAAGCATTTCATTTCCATGAAATTGTAAACTGTCCAGCTTGTACAGGTCACACCTGCTCAAGAAAAGATTCTACTTCCTCAGAAGTCTGATGCATAACCTCCCATAGCAGTTCTCCAGCCATGTATTCTCCAGTCAGTCATCCTGTCCTCATGCTCACTAGCATGTGACACTCAGAGCAGTCCTGAAATTACTGCTCTTGAGGTTTGCAGCATTACAGATGCTAGTCTTCAACTGATTCAGGTCACATGATATCAAGAAATGGCTGAAAGTGCGTGATTCTACAAAGACTACGGGCCCTGACAACATTTTGGCAAGATTACTGATTATGTGTGTACAGAACTAGCTGTGCTTCTAGCCAAGCTGTTCCAATA